TAAATGCAACTAATCATTATTTAAATTTGGATATTCCACAGCCTGGAAAATAAAAAGCCATGTAACAGATTAAGAAAATAAGAATAGGAGGGTCACTTTAGATGGTCGTGGGAGGTTTGCTGAAAGGGGAGATTTTATTCTGTTGTGAAATTATGAGAAGCAGCTTTTTCTACTCCACACTAGAGGTCTCAACTAGCTAGAGGTGGCCTTGTTGCTCAATCTGAGTAGCGTGGTTTTATGGAGTTATGGTTTTATTGACATTATATAGTAAGTCTTACTATATTAGCCTAGAGGGGTATGATTTCACTGAGGGGTATGATTTCAATGAGGTACTTTCTGACTACTCAGGCCTTAGCTCTACGTCGAAATGCTAATGGAATATCTTATTGAACAACTTTAAATTCTGTAATTTCAAATCCAGAAACACTATCAAAATTTCAATAAGGGTGTCCAGGTGGCTCAGTGGGTTAAAAGCCCCTGGCTTTGGCTCAGGTCATGAGATCCCAGGACTGAGTGTCCCATTGGGCTTCTTGCTCAGCAGGGCGTCTGCTTGTCCCTCTGCCCTCCGCCCCCCTCAGATAAACAAATAAAACCTTAAAAAAATTAAATAAGAAGATGGCAAGTGTAAATGCAGTCAGCTGTGAAGGAATATACCTTTAAGCTGCCCACATATATAATGTCCAACACGACCAAGCTCCACAGAGTACATGGTACTAACCAAGTTTAATACTTCCAGGTATTATACAGTATGAAAGAAATTTACAGGCTTAAACTTGGAAATAAACTTATTTTTTAAAGGAAACACATAACAGATCTAAACCAGTCAGGGAAAAGTAAAGATCCTATCATTCATCAATTACAATTCTGGCTTTAAGCAAAAGCAAAAGGAAAGAAATCAAAAGAAATGGGTTGAGCATGATTTTCTCTGGAGATGTATTGTGATGTTCTTTTATAAAAGAAACCAAAAAAAAAAAAACCCTTTAAATAAGCATCTTATTTTTTAAACAGAAAGCTTGTCAGATAACTCTAAATAAAATGGTCCTCATTTCTACTCTAATGAAAAATGAAATAAAACCTAAAATCACAGGCTTTTGTGTTAACTTAAAATTTGCATAAACAAGCAATGCCTGTTTTATTATAATAGAAAAACAACACTAACAATGTAACTTAAGAATGCACTGACTGAATGCAAAAAGCCCTTCACTGAAAAATCTGAAAATATCACATGCTGTGAATGCTAAAATAATTAGAAATACACACATATGAAACAGCTGGCTGAGTCAGGCACCACCAACTTGCATTGTTGCTCATATGCTAAATGTCAACGCCCATGTTCAGAAACTGCTATCATGCAACATAACCTTTGGAATTTCACAGTATTGGTCAAACATATAAAGCTAAAGCAAAATACCAACACTGTATCTGCTTTGTGATAAGAAAAGAGGGCAAAAGATCTGCAACTTTATGGATAAATTCTACCACCCTAAATAAATAATAAAGGAAGTCAAATAAAACAACAGCAACAACATAGAAAGGTTCTGTTCTACACCATGTTACATCCCATCAGAACTCACCCTTCCTTAATCTTTCATTTGATTCTGCTGTTTAAAAACTTCCAAAATTTAATCTTTCTTAATTATCCTACTTTAAAATTCAAAATCTAATCATTTCATATTTTTTAGGACCATTACAACTAAAATAACAAGGCAGAAAGAAGACAGGGAACAAGGTAATAATCAGCAATCTGCTACTCTCCAGAGGCTTCCGAATGTGTTTATTTGAAATATGCTTATTCAGAAAAAAAATCTACCAACATAATGATATATTATTATTCATACTCTAACATGTGATGTTAACTAACATTTTGATGATCTGAAAGTAAAAGGGATGCAAATATTTAGAAGCATAATGAAAATATTCTATGTCAATAGTCAAGGGACATTATAGCCTCCATATTGTCCAGACTATAATTATAATACAATGAGTAATACTGCAAAGTAAAAGGACCCACTCCCTATACAACATGCTTCGGGGGGATGGGGCCTCAGACCTGAGTAATTATGTCTGGCTTATTTTGCATTAATGATTATTTTGAATAATATTATTATTATTACTATGATTATTATTTTACTACACTTATGCTTATAAAGCCACTGGCTTTTATAAGGTTTTATTTTGTTTTGTTTATTTCTTTTTTTCCATCTACTTCTTTCTAAGAATCTACACTGGCCAGTTTACAAATTACTAAAGCCCTACTGACCCAAAATATACTTCTAGTAAAATGTTAAGAGCTATATATTTGATATATTTGAGTGTCTAACAGTAATACGTGCTGATACTGAACATAGTCTGTGTTCAAAAATAATATTCTTAATGATCATGCTGTATTGCATTCCTTACGCTATACAAATACCGAAGAATGTAAATTTCCTTGGATAATGTCAAAAATTTATCTATCATATTACATATCATATGCTAAAAGGCAGTCTCAGTTAAGAGGGAAGAATCTAAAACTATGATTTGGGGTTCAAGTGTCATCTCCAAAATGTACTCATTGGACAATTGTGGGTAAGTTACCTATATTCTCTGAGCCTTATTTTCCTCATTTGAAAAATGGGAATGCTAGTACATACAATAAAGGATTTCTCTGAGGATTAAGAAACATAGTATATATAAAATACAGAGCATAATGCCAAAAATTCAGAAAAGTAAATACCAGCGAATGTAATTGTTATTAGGGTCATTCAGTTGGCCCTACATTCATAAGAGGATTTATATATGCATGTATACACATAAAATATATGTTCATGAATGCAGAACCCATATATATGTACACATATGTATATATATACTCTTACAAAGAATTCTACATGGTCATAGCCATTCAACTATCTAAAAGAAAAGAAAGCTGCAGATTTGCTGAGGCTGCTACAATTTAAAATGCCTCATGTTCAGTCAATTCTTGAAATGCTGTCTTAAGAAATTCAGCAATTACAGGGAATCTGGGCAAAATTCTGCAAGAACAGCTTTTTTCTAAATGTATTTCAAATATGAATTTGATTATTAATCAAACATTAGCATATCTGCTACATATTGTGGCACATTCTCATAGTAGCTAATTTTGTATTTGGTTATACAATAAAATTTTAAGAAATTAACATGTAGCTCTTTCAGGACATTAAGAAGCTTACAGGACTGGTTTCTTAAAACAAGGCTTAGGCCTGAAGCAAGTGGAACTTCCCACAAACACATGCTCTACCGCAACACAAAAGCACTAACTCAAAGTTGTGAAATTATTTAGTAATATAAAAAATGTTCAAATGATATGAAACCAAAATGAGGAAAGTAAAAAAGAGATATGACAATACACAGATCTGAATCTTTATATTTATATTCACATACAGGAATACTTCATGGTATACACATTTTATAAATCACTGCCCTTCAGAAGTATGACTTTCATTTATGACGGCTTCTATGTTTCCTAAATGCCACAAATTTACCCAGCTCTGTATCCTCTGTTCTCTCCTGGCTAGTGTTTTATTATCTGCATCCTATTTGCCACCTGAATAAGCCTTTTCCTGGACCTTCCCACTGTTATCCATCTTTTATTTCATCAGTTAAAAAGGGATCTCAACATTGAATTCAATTTTGTTCTTTGGCCTAAAACATTTTACAAGATATAAATGGTAAGCTCACCAAAGACTATTTGATGCAACACTAATTATCTTAAATATAATACCAATGAAAGGAAATACTGCAATTTCAATAATTAACACAAAATAGAAAAGTAATGTAATTCAGTACAAAAATGTTGAGTTTCTTTCTTAAGTCTCCTTGTTTGAAGTAGATGAGAAGGTAGGGGTAGACCTTCTGGAAGACTGGATAGGACTATTAAGAAGTGTTATAGATTAATGAGACTTAAAAAAATTAACTTACAAAAATGGCTTCTTTTTCCTTGTTACAAATATATCACTAGAATAATACTTCTATTTCTACACTTGGTAAGGTCTGCAGGAGGTGTGATGGAGGGGGCTGTCACAGAAAGAGCAAAATAAAATATGGAAGAGGAAAGCAGTTAAACAAGGGAAAGCCATGAGTTTTCACATGAAAGGTCACATGTAAAAGCTTTCCTGACAGCATTACCATCATCCACTGTCCCCATTTAACCATAGCATCTCTTCCTCTTCCACACACAATTTGGAATTTGCCAGCATGGCAGCAATAGCTAACATACACTGAGTGGTGATTAGGGGTCACTCATTCTGCCACTTGCTTTCAATGTCTCATCTCACATACTTCGCAGATCATTCCCATGTGAAATGTATCATTATTTTCCACATTCTCTAGAGAAGAAATTTGAGATTCAGAGGAAAAAAAAAGTGTCTTGCCCAGAGTCGCAGGAATTCAAACTGGGTTATTTCAGAGCCTAGACCCCAACCTTCCAACCATTCCCTCCTATCACCATCACAGTGCAAGGCACAGCGATCAAGACTGCTTAGGTAATATCAAGATGATATTGTACAACTAACCTCCATTCAATACCACTCACTCCCTGATGGACATCCTTGATAAAAAGGAGCCACAATTGCTATTTTCCTCATTTGTAATGTGCCGCATCTCAGTCACAAGAAAGAAATTATCTGTTTATTTCATACATCAACTATCAGTCAAACATGAGACCAGAGAGACATTATTTTCAAGATAATGCGTTTATGAAGCCAATATGTTTACTACAACCCTTACACGAGAAAATCTTAATATAAGTTTTTATGGTTCTGAGCACATTTTTCCTCTGTTTTACATCAAAGTTCTCTGCCAAGCCTCTCCTAGTTTTTAGCATAGAGTAAAATTAGTGTATGACTATTATGAAAGTGGTTGAATTCAGGACATTCAGTGGTTGCTCTCTGACTGCTAGGTTCTTATTGATTTTCACTTTTTCCACATAATGCCCATTACTTTAAGTAGGCCGAACAAAGAACAAATGCCAGTTCTCTTACCTGTTTAAGAGCCTTTTTGGTGTGTTGCTGAAAGGAAGACGCTAACTTGCTTTGCACTGCTGTGTTAGTAAGGCTTGAATCTCGAGTGGAAGATGCTTCATCAGTTACCTGCTTTGCACAAACTAGAAACAGAGAGAGATAATGATATTACTAATTTGAATTCCTTTTTTTATATCCATTGTAATTAACTCGCTTGGAGCTTCTCTCCAATTGAAAATGGATACCTAAAATAAAGCCAAATAGCACAGTAAAAAGACGAGTATCTAGATTTGAGAGAAGGATCACTTAATAACTGTGTGGTCACAGTTACATGTAACCCCTCTACACCTCCGTTTCCTTACCCACTAATTGATGATAATTTCTATGCCATAGGGCTATTGTGCAGACATAAAAAGAGTGTAATTTCTACCTCAAGACTTGGGAATCAGTAGATACTTTCCAAGTCCGAATATGCAGATTGGGCAATGTATAGTATTTTGAAGAAAGCATGTAAATTAATGAAATTGTTTTAAATCTACCAACCACCATTGTGTTCTTCCACTTAGCAGCCCTCTTTCAATACATTCTGTGGCCTTCTGGGACATGTTTATTTTCTCCTATGGACCAAGTCATCTATCATGGAGAAGGAAAATAAAATCCAAAATGTTGGATGTCAATTTAAGGAAATTATTTTCAAGGAAATCAGGCCCTCTGCAGATAATCATATAATCTGTCCATTTTTGCTCAAGTCAAGCGTTCCTGTTGTCTATTCAACAGAGGACATTTTCTTCAAAAAGGCTGCTTTTAGAAGAACCAGTGTCTCACTAGCATGGGTGACAAGGGCCCACACTCACTCTCTGTTCTGTGAAACCTGGGTTAGAACGAACGGCCACTCTTCTTCAGTCCCCAAACCTACCACCTAAGAGACAAAACAGAGACAGTACCTTTTTTTGTGCCTGACTCTGGCAGCAGCACAGATGCGGACCCTTTTCTATGCACAACCTTTTCTTTGCACGCCAGAGGGGAAGGAGGTTTTAGGAAAAAATCAAAGTAAGGAAGCACTAGGATTAGTGGCAGAATGGAGGCATATGTCAAAGGCAGGAGGCAAGAAGTTGGATGGAAAAAAATAGCTTGAGAACATATTGGAAAAGCTCAAAATATGACTTCTTAAGGGCACCAGGGTTAACACTAATCCAAGAAAATTTTCCAAGGAACAGAAACTTAGAGAATTCTGACCTGAGCTTTAGAGGCAGGTGGAGGAATAAAAATTATTCTAGTCAAAAATGGAAGCAAATGCACGTGCAGAGTGTTGCGAACACTCAAGCTGCTTTAGATAGACTCAAGCACATGCTGCCTAGAAATAAAAATGCTCATGAAAGAATGCTGGGGAAAAAAGAGGTAGTCAGGTTTTGTTTTAATACAGAAAGTAATCAAATTGCTGATTACTAAACAAAATGAACAAGTTTTGAACAATAATTGCTAGTTTTTAATGCCAAGCACTTTACATATGTGATCTCATTTCATCCTTGACAATTCATTGCTACTGCCTTGCAAGATGGAAAGGTACTGTCCCTGTTTTGGAGAGAGAAAACTAGAGCCCAGAAATGCTCAACAACTTGCCCACAGTAACAAAGTCAACAAAATAGCAGAGCTGGGAGCCAGGGCCAGACCCATAATTTCCCACTTACATATTTGGCCTTAAAGCCCAGAACTAATGTAGAAAATTCAATGTCTATAGAAGTTTAATTTAGCTGCATCCTGAAGGTACTGAAACAGGAAGTTAATAAAGGCAGGGAGATCAAATCATTTAACCACAACATGAAAAAAGGTAGAACTGTAGGTGAGAGTGATTGGCCCAGGAAATAATAGGGTTGAAGAAGCCAAAAGGATTTGCCCATCCATAGAGTTAAGAGAAGTCTCTGAATTAAAGATCAGCTGACTTGTTTCTATTTGATATCATATGATACTTTTCCTTAAAACAGTCTAAGGTTGTAGTTAACATTAAAATGTAGAAACATTTTATAACACTGCTACCCTGAATTATATGACTCCAAGGCTTTTCTCCTTGAAATGATCACTAGAGCAAATTGTATCACTCTGCCAAATCTTACTCCAGAAATATTAGAAATTAATCATCAGTATCTTTGGAATGTATTCCAAAGATAAATTTGCTTTTACAGTGATTACACACATGGGCTCGTCAATGTTTGAAGTCTCTACAAAGTGTGAAGAACTGAGGAATTGAGAGGAAGGTGGCAGACGGGACAAATGATTCCAATTGAATGGACCTAAATGTTGCAATAGAAGCCCAGCCAGGAACAAAGTGTGCATTAGCAAATATGTTTTATTACTTCACATTCTCAGAGTAGTATTTCCAACTGGACAAATGGAAACTTACTGATGAGTTAAAAAGGAGAACCAAATGCTGTTGGATTTTAGGAAATTTGTGAAAAATATGAGATACTTCTGCATACTGGACAAATTTACCAACTTGCTTAGGAAGTGCTTTTATTCGTAAGTCTTTCAAAGGTAAATGCCAATGAAGCAGGGACAAACAACGACAAATGCTGAATTAGTGAGTATAAGTAAAGCCTTGTCCCCCTTGCATTCATCTGACTGCTACAGTAAGAGGTACTGCTTGCATTCATCTGACTGCTACAATCAGCCCTCCTTCTTGAGGATAACAGATATCTTTTAACTTGCTCTATTTCTCTCTGCCCAAGGAAGCCATAGAGTATCATGATACCAATTTCAGTATCAGAGAATATAATGCATAGTTTGATTGAAATTCACTATTATACCAGGTTAATAATGACTCACATGTATTTAGTGTTTCCAAAGGGAAGATTTGGTTCAATCTGGAGCCCAGAACTTCAGATGGAGGGCAGGACAATAAAATGAAACAGCATCAAGCAATCCTATGAAGTTTTTTTCTCAAGATGATTCATTTTTCTTTAACTCAACTCTATTTTGCTTTATCTTACATTCTATCCTATACTCAAATGAAGCATCATGAAAACTCCTTCCTACATTTCCTCCTTGATTCCCTCTTTTGAAACATGGTCCTATTTCCCTGAGTCAAATAATTTTTCTTTCCCTAATCATTTATTTCTGATCAAATAATTATGGAATCTTTAGAAAGTAAATGTAATAGAAAATTAAATCTATAAGTGAGTATTCCTTTGAGTTAAAAAAATACCTTATTTTATGGAAAAAAGTCCAGAAATAATAAAATGCACAGTGTTATCCAGAAACTCCAGACAATGCACCTGCATATGTGGCGTGTATGTGCATGTGGGGTGCATGTGTGTCTGTGTACTGACAAAAATTGACCCTTAACATGGGTGCATGAGTGATTTTATTCACTCTTTTGCCATGTATATGATGAGGGTGGCTGAATTGAAAAACACCAAATAGTTGGACTGTGGAGGTTCATGCAGATTCATATTCTGACAAAATACACGGTTTTCACTTTTACTTAATTCTTGCAGCTTTGTTAATAACAGATGTGATAAATAAATAATACACAGCTCATTTTAAACAGTTGCCTGAATATTTATATAAGGGACTGAGTCTGGCCTCTGAAATACAAGCCAAAGAAAAATTAATGTTAAAGAAAGGGCCAAGGGAAATTCCCTGTATGTGAAATTACAACAGAAACCAGGAAACTGAAGAATTAGGACAGATGTTTTATCCAATAAATATCAAACACTGACAGGCAGCTTAGAAAGTGATATCTTTTTGGCATTCAAACAAGAATGGAGCTTTTTTTTTCCTAACTTCACTGGTGTGATCACAAAATGAATGCCAGGATTTATACCTCAAACCCCCACAAGACTGCCTGCCCTTCCCGTAGGTGGACAAAATGAAGACAAGGAAATATTTTTTTAAATGTACAGAAATGCTATTTCTGTCTACATTTTGCATGGCTGCCAAAACTAGGCAGAGCCAACAATATAGTTAAAAACTAATCTGCTTGTTTTAAATTCAAACAGGTAATGAGATTCTCAGTATTTGTTGCTTAACTACTCCCACTCTCACATTCTCACCCAAGTCCTCCATCCAAAATAGTCTATTTAGGAGGCTTAGGAGATAAGAGAGATGGAGGCTTACACATCATCATGAAACAGTCTTGAAAGCTGGAGACACTGGTGACTGTCCAGCAAGACTGGACTTTTGACTCGGAGTCTCCATGTTGCTCTCCTCTCTTTCATTTACCATTCAACTTGAAAATGAGATCAAACTAGAAAACATGGGTTAGAACTCATATTTTTAAAGTCAAGTAACAGAAGCTATGGGCAATGCTCCCCTCACTGTAATTGCTAATCCACTGACAAGTGTACAAGAAGGCTTTGACCTTTAAACCAAGCCACAAAGAAGGGAGAGATTAGAATGCAACTTGACTTTGTCTCTCTCTCTAGTCTTACATTTTGTCTGCCTCCCCAACTCCAATCCTCTCTGACCCAACCAGCTGAGACCCTGCTGTATTTCCTGAACACAGTGACTTGCTGTATTTACTATAATTTGCTCCGATTATCCTTCATCTAAACACCCTTCTCCATTTCTTTGCCTGGCGAATTCATCTTGGCAGCCCAAACTGAAACAGCTTCCCCAAAGCCTTCCTGACTATGCCAGTCTCTGAGGTCAACTTATTCCTCTTCTTCCCATGTTTTCTTGGAACTTAGTATATGAATTCATGGCACTCTCTGCAACTGGTGCTTCTCTCTGCCTCAATCATCCACAGGTTCGGCAACTCGGGACTTAAGTGCAAAGATGGGCACAGAGTAGTTAATCTATAAATGTTTACTAAATTGCTAAATTTGATTTTCACTAAATTTATCTAAAGTGTCTATTTTTTAATGTGAATTTTCAATTGTTGCTTTAAATAGGAATTCATGGAAAGGGACCTTAGCAAAGCAGTTTATTATTAGTGAATTTTTTTTATCTTACAAAAAAATTTAAAATCATCCTAAAATCAAGTAGGAAAAATATGAAAACCAACCACAAAACATCCTATGTATGTCTGTGGAAAGTCATATGACCTGCCACTCAATGTCAATAAACTTCCTTCTGCCATCCTGACTTGTTGCCTTATTTTAGGAAGAAAGTGACAGTTTGGAGGCTTTGCATAATGAAATAAAAA